TAAAGATTTGTGTCCGTTTTACAACTGTAAAAGAATTTCCAATATCAAGGGAAGTTCTACATTAATGTAACAACAAGAATTACAAGGATATTTATTCACCATATCCTTGTAATAGACACAGTAGCTGCCACCATTTAAAGAACCTGGCCCACTGCTAGACTGTAAGCAACACGCAGGTAGAGACCATGTGTGCATAGCATGCTCAGCCTGTGGCAGGAAACGCTAACTGATGGGCAAAGTGAAGGGACGATCGGTGCTGTTCATGGCTCACTCTTGGAGAAGGCACAGTTGCCAAAGCCAGGGTCAGAAACACGTACACTGGGAAAAAGTATTCATTTGACCTCCAAGGATAATAATCATCTGGCTTACAAAATGAGCTATATTAATTTCATTTTTTTAAGTCTTATAATATCTGGTATTAGTTTGAGACAGAAGCTAATTGTGTTGTCCAGGTTGGTATCGCTCAAATGATCCTCCCCCCTCAGTCTCCTAAGTAGCTGGGAGTACAGGAGTGTGTCACTATGTCTGCTAGGAATGCTCTGTTGGATGTCCAGTTATTTGAAGACAATTAAGAAAAAGAAACCATTCTCATATGTGACCACTGTTATTCGTCCTTTACTTTTTGTTCTTTTGCAAGCATGTGTTGTTCTGCCTAACAGACTTCTTTGGGACATTTCCTCTGGAGTCATTATGTCCACCGCAGCCCATACCCTCTAATTTCTCCCCCTTACAATTCTTCCCCAACTTGCTCCTGGGAGACTGGGAACTGGAGCCTGCTTTCTGTTACCAAATCCAGAAATGTTTACAGGAATTGTAACACGTCCACTTTTGGAGGGTGGAGGTACTGGGGATTTAACCCAGGGGTGCTTTACCATTGAGCTATATCCCCAGCCTTTTTAAAAAAATTTGAGCTAGGGTTTCACTAAATTGCTGAGGCTAGCCTCAAACTTGCAATCCTGCCTCAGCTCTTGAGTCACTGGGATTACAGACCTGCGCCACCATGCCTGGCAATATGTCCACCTTTTAAAGACATTCTCAATGGCCAGGGCCTTGATTTGCTGGGCACTTCCCTTCTGTTTTTGCTTTTTAGTTGTATACCTGTTTTGTTTTTAACATTCCAATTTCCAATGGTGGTCTTCAGCATTACAACAACTTTATTTGCCAAAGGTAAAGAAGAGATCATTTTAGTAGCAAATACACTGGCTGAAGCTTCAAGAAGTAGCAGTCAGTAGATGGAGGTTACACTCTAGGTCTACCTGAGACTATCTAAGAATGTAGAGGAGCTCCCACATCAACCAACAAAAAACCCTAGTGGTTAGCTATATGCAAATAGGGTATAAATGAAAGTTAAGTGTGGCTTCTGAGGGACAGTACCCTAATGGTATTGTAATGGGGTCAGTCAAGAACTAAGTGAAGTTAATCTGTCTGTAGAATTGTTATTGCATCTCCTTACTGTTCTCTTAGGTAATATACTCATAGTTCCCAGGTCAAATGTGGATCTCTCACTGGAATTAGCAATCTGATTTGTAAATCTACTCCCTTGATGCATGGTTCACAATAAAGAATTTCTAGACCTGAAATGTTGGGAATCAATGCTAGCAGAGGCCACCTCTAACAGCAAGTGGGGGAACACCTGGGCACTTGCCAAGGCTGTCCTCCTTATGGTCTTGTTGGGCCACAGAGTCTCCTTCAACTTGCCATGCTAGAGTGACAGAGATCATCAACTCATGGAGCAGGCAAACCAATATCCGGATTCTCCCTACCATGCCTGCATCTCCAACACTTCTCAAGGAACTGTAGTCACACCCAGTGGAAGGGAATTGAAGAGAGAAAATGAACAGGCTTTGTGTAGTTGCTAATAGAAGCCCTCACTCTGCCATGGCCTCCACCCCATGTCCTGCCCTGGCCAGATGGCAATATTATATACATCTAGAGATATGTGCCATACTCAACACTGTCTTTTTTGCAGGGACTCTATAGAGTACATTGGTGTTTGCTCATGTGAATGGGGCAGAATTCAGATGGCAGCTGGCTGAAGGAATATGCTGGTGATAGAGTAGGTAAGAAAGGAAGCAATCAAAAAGCAACTTGGAAATGCCAAGTAAAAGACAATGGAAGGGGCTGGGATTGTGGCTCAGTGGTAGAGCACCTGCCTAGCACGCACGGGGCCCTGGGTTCAGTCCTCAGTACTACATAAAAATAAATAATAAATGGAATAAAGGTATTGTGTCCAACTACAACTAAAATAAATAAATAAATAATTTTAAAAAGACAATGGAAAACACTGGGAAGAATGTAACTCTTTCCTTAAAGTGCTCTGTTAATAGTTTCTCAAATCTAACCAAATGGAATTTACATAGCCAGATATTAACAACGATGACAGTCACCTTTTCCCAAGCTTGGAACACCTCCAATTTTGAAGGATTACTCCAACAACTTTGGCTTCTTCAAATAGAAACATTATTTGTAGATAAATATATTATTTTTTCAAAGGCTGAATTAAATCTTTGTATTAAATCCTGGTGCAAAAAGCAATGAGAAACCTCACTTTATTTTCTAAATTTCATTTTTAAAAAGTTGAACAATATTTGCACAATTTTAACTAATCTAAAGTTTACCAAAATGGATTCTTGCCAATAAGTCTATAAATCCCATACTTGAGTGTGTTTGCTGAATGTCCTTAAAGGGAAAAAAATTCTACTGTAAGCACATTAACTACAAGACATAATTCTTAAAATATATTTGAGGTAAAAGTCTTCTATGGAGAGGGTTAATTTACCTTTTCATTAATAATTAAAGGTACATTATGAACACATGGATTAAAAATTTGCCATATATAGCTTTTAGGGCCATGCACCAAAGGTTGACTCGATTAAAAGGTAATGATCCTTAAAAAACTGGAGTCATGAAATGTAACCCCTCATTCTTCACTGTAACTTTCTGTACCAACTCCTTCGATTTCCATGCCTCAGCACTTCTCATTTTGCCTCTTTCCCTGTAGATTTTGCCCAGGAATTCTGAGAATACTGGATGCTCTTCTACTTCCAGCAGGAAATTGCTGCTGGGGGAACTTCCTACCAGGGCTAAGCTTTTCTCTGCATTGCAGAGGGGTGGGGAGGCGGGTGTACAGTACAGGCTGCCTAGAATAGATCCCAGACCTTGGGCCTCACAGCCTTGTGGTGACTGAACTCAGAGCTTCCTCACATCTCGTATTTGCATTCCAGTTCACAGAGCCATTTCACACACTAGCTGGCAATTCTTAAGCCTGCTGGAAAACTAACCCAGGATTCACCTCATCCATCACGGAACTATGGCTGTCCTTTGAGGGCTACAGCAAGGGATGGAGGAGTGTTTTTTAATCAGGACTAAATCTACCAGTGAAGAGGGATAATTCCTCAAATTTAAACTCTGGAAAATGAAATGGAAGAGAAGCAGGCCAGGAGTTGAAGGTGGGCTCCAGAGGCAGAGGGAACTGGGTTCAGATCCTTCTTCTTTATTACTCAGTTATATGACCCTGGGCAAGTCTCCTTAAATATGTTCCCTCCTCTGTAAAATGGGAATAACAAAACCTATCTTACAGGGTTTGGGGAACTAAAAGAAATGATGCAGTAATACACACAGCCAATGTCTGATATACAAAATACTTGGTAAATGCTAAGACTTCATGTTTGGAAGTGGGTCTGGAGCTTGGGTTCAAATCCTATTGCTAGCATTAATAGTCAAGGGCATCTGATGCATTAGGTAAACTTCCCTGAATCACTTTCTATACCATGAAAATGGAATTTTATTACAACTCATAGTAGAGATCTAATAATTATTAGCTACTCTTGTTTCATTGGGAGTAAAAACAGCTTGTATTTCTACATCAACCAATAATGTAGTGAATTAAGTGAGACTTCAGTGTAATGTGTATTTTTTTTTTAAATCGTGAAGATTTTGTACGCATTTATGAATTCTGCAGTAGAGTCAGGCTGTGATGCTAAGGGTGGGGTTAAACTGTAATATGAAGAAAAAAAACTAAAAGGGAGTATAAACCACCCACCAGGGAGCTATTTCTTTTGTAATGTGCATTCCATTTCTTCTCCCTCATGCTTTTTAATTCCTTCCACATTTCCTGCCATAATTATCAAATGTTTAGTTTCTGACCTCACTTTTCTGGAGACTAGAGCCCAGGGAATTTAGAATTGTTTATTTTCTGTCCATAAACCTTTGAGTTAATGGAGGGGCTTGTGAGCGAAGCGTTGTTGGTTTGTTTGTAGTGTCTCAGGAAGGTCACTGGAGTTGAAAAGAAAACATTACCAGGAAAAAAAAAAAAAAAAAGAAAGCTGAAATGCCTTAACTGGAAACGCGGAGCCCCCAAAGGGCAGAGCCATGGATCTCTCACACTTGCGCAATGTGAGTTTAAAGAATAATTTAGATTTTTTAAATGCCCTTATATGGCCTAGATAACAACAACAACAACAACAACAAAAATCCCAGGGCATTTTGAAAAGAAAAAAAATAAATTTTCAGGGAATCATAATCTCACTTTATAAAGAAGAAAGAGAAATTTATTTTGCCCCGAAAGAGGAATCTTTTGATTCCCCGACCCCCACCCCCCGGGGAAGACAGACTTGGAAAGGAAAAGTCCTGAACTATTCTTAATTTCCTCTAAAGTGAAGGGAAGAACTCAGGGCGCCTTTTTGAACTCGACTGCTGCTGTCGCCGCGTCGGTCCCAGTCCGCCCAGTCGTGCTCTCTCCCCCACCCCACCCTCCCTCCATATTAGGCGCGGTGGGGCTCTCGCTTATGGCCCAAACTTATCCTGATTTTGAGACTGAAGTTTGGCGAGTAGCATTTCTGCTCCGAGCGCCCCCGGAGCCTCGCCCCACCCCACTCCACCGCAAGTGTGGAAACTCCCAGTCCCACCCCGCCAGCATCCCAGGACTCACGCCGGCCGCCAGGTGCGCAGAGCCCCTTGGCCTGAGGCCCGCGTTCCGACCTCCTGGACCCCTCACCTACCTCGGCGTGGACCCAGGCGACGGCCACGAACGCGAGCGCAAGCCAGTGTTTCCACATCTGAGGAAGAGAGAAGAGAGCGAGACTGAAGGCGCCGGGCCCCGCGCCGACCCGGGAAACTTCTTCAGGTCCCGCAGGCTCGTCCCCTCCGCCCGGGCACCCCAGGCCGTCCGGAGGGGTCGAGCCACCGCACTCCGTGCTCACCATGGTCCGGTCCGGGGCTCCGGAGGGCGCGGGACAGAACGGCTGCAACGAGCTCAAAGCGAAGGTGGGAGCTTCGCGGATCAGCAGCCTCCGAGGAAATTCGACCTGGGCTCGCCGCCCCTTAAGACCCCTCCTTCCCCGACTGCCTGCCCCCCAGCTCCTCCCATTCTCCTCCCACTTCTGCAGCAGCGGGCCCCGCGGCTCCAGCTCCCCTCCCTTCCCTCGTCCCCGGCTGCGGGGAGCCCTCGTGCGTCCTGGCTCAGCCTAAACCCTTCTTACCGCACGGCCCTTCGCCAGGCATCCCTCCGACCCCCAGGACGCTGAAGCGAAGGCAGTGGGGGCTGTCCCGAGGGACGCTGCAACAAAGGCCGAGAGGGGAAAAGGGTGGGGGGTGGAGGGGGGGCGAGGAGAGCCAAAACCCCTCCCCCGGGAGGGGCGGCTGGCCTGCAGCAGTCCGGGCCGCAGCCGGCGGCGTGAGCTGCAGAGGTGGCCAGGTGGGCGGTACCGTTGGGGGCCCCGGTCTAGGCCCGGACTGGAACCCCGGGGAGAAGATGCCCTGCAGCCTAGGCAGTCTGAGCCTCCCTACTGCTGAAAGGGAGAGGATTGGGGTACAAAGGAGCCCCCTCAGCCCAGGGACTAGGGTGCCGCTGTAGCCAGAGCATCAGGAAGTGAGTACAGAGGCCAAAGACCAGCCGGCGCAGGGAAGGCTGGTCTGGGTTCAATCGCAGGGTGAGGGTGCAGTCCCCTGCTTTGCTGAAAAGATCCTGAGTCCAGCATCTGCTGATAGTCTTTTCCTGCCCTTCCCTCAGGTCCAAGAGCCGTGTCTGCTTCCTCTTCTCAGCCCATGCCTCACCTGTGTCCCTGTCCTTCTGTCATTACAGATAACTGTCCTGTTCATGCCTTGGATATCCACCAATTTCTTCCTAGCAGCCTTCAAAGGTTTCTTACCTCTTTGAAGGTGCTCCCCACTCGCTTAAATCTGCTTCTTTTCCTGCCATGAGTCCCCGTGGCTAGTGCGGAGAACTAATCTACTTGGCATCTCAGATTTAACTTGCCCAAGGCTGAATCCCTCTTCCCACCAGCTCTGGAGCCTGCTCATCTACCTCCTTCAGTGGTTGCCTTCTAAACATATCTCCTTATTCCAGAGCTTGGTTGTCACCATAGCCTGGCAATTTTCCCATTGAGATCGCATATGCATCCCTCCACTCCCTATTTCCACATGCCCACTTTCCTAGGCCAGACCTTCATCTTCCCTTATTGAGAAATTCTAGAAACCACTTCTGGTTGCCCTCTGGCTCCAGCTGCTCCCCAACAACCCACTCTTCTAGTTCCATTGCAACACATTGCCATAGTTTCTCATTACTTGGCTTAAATTCTCTTTCTCATGTTTTTCCTTTACTAAAAACCTACAGCAAGCACTCTTACCCTACATCAGATCCAAACTTCTTCTTTCCTTGTGAACCCCCCATTACCTGGTATACCCTAACCCTCTCTTCATCTACTTCAACATGTTCCCTCTTCTCAAATTAGTCTAGTCTTTACATTGTCCTCTGAATTTATATTCTTTGACCCAGGTTTGCTGAGTACCTACTGTTGAGGATTTAGGAGGCTTCAAAATAATGCCCAGATTCCCCGTGCAAATTCAAAATCCATCAATGGCTATAGGAGTCACACTGACTGGAGAGCAAATATCAGCTTTGTTCCTGGTGAAAGTTGGAATGGTGGCTATAGAGCTTCAGGGACAACAGGCCTACTAGTACTTCACCCCAGAGTTACAAGCAGAGTTGGAAAGCCTACTTGTATTAAACCCACAGCATGAAAAAACAGAAAACACTGCTTCCTGGGGCAGGCCTGCTTCCTAAACTTAGAGTATAGAGGATGCGTGACTACTTTGGATTTCACCAGTCAGAAAACTTCCTCCTGCTCACTCCTCATGGAAATAAGAGGAGCAAGAAATAGATGTATCCCCACTAGATATACTGTCCTAATCCTTGTGCTAGGATCAAAGGAGGGAAGTATGGTATATAAAGTTTTGTTTCTGTCCTCTGTCAATCACAATACTTTGCACCCTTCATTTAGCACTGTTCCCCCTCAAAATTGGCATTCTTGGTTTGGGGTTATAGCTCAGTGGTAGAGTACTTGCCCAGAATGTATGAGGCACTGGATTCAATCCTCAGTACCACATTAAAATAAAAGTATTGTGTTCATCTATAACTAAAAATTTAAGAAAAAAAACTGGCATTCTTCTTTCTGTATATTAAAATTCTCTTTTGTTATTGTTATTTTCAGAGCCCAAGTCAAATTCTTTGCTCTCTAGCACCTTTTTCGACAAAACTTGGCAAAGTGTAAAGTATGTAAGGTTTGAAGTCAAACTAACCTGACTTTCAGTCCTATCACTGCCATTTGCTAGCTGGGTGACCTTCATCAAATTCCTTAAGAACCTAGCTTTCTGCATGTGACAAATGGCAGTGATAACGCCCTTCAGGGATTGTGAAATTTAAATAGACACATTATAAAAAATGCCAGGCGGGTAGCAGGCCTCTGTAAATGATGACCATTATTTTTTCATTGTTCTTTTGCATCTAAATAGCAGTTTGTATATGTGCCAGGTACTTGAGAATCATTCAACATGTCTTATTTTATTTGTCACAATAAACTAAAAGGTTTTTTTTTTATTAGTTCCATTTTCAAATAAGAGAACTGAAGCTCTGAAAAATTTAGATACTTTTGCAAGGTTATACATTTGGTTATCCAGCTTTTCAGCTTGGCATTTTTATTGCATACTGTTGTACAATGTTTAACACTTGTTTACATAGTTCTTGATTCAGAGTAGGGTTATCAGTGGGAAGCTTTGGTTGCAAGTGACAGACAGAGAAGCCAATTTCAATAAATGGCTCTGAGATCAAATAGAATTTATTGACCCATGTAGCTGAGCAGTCCAGAGATAAGACTGGATTTAGGTAAGCCTTTATCTGGGAGTTCAAATAAGGTCACCAGAGATCACTTTCTTGCCATCTCTTGCTTCCACCTTTCAGCAGTGTTATTGCATTCCTGAGTTCTACAGGGTGGTTCCTGCAATCCCAAGTCTATTCTCTCATTGTGGTAACTGACAGCAAGACTAGTCTCATCTGGGTGAGAGAAAGAGCCTTTTTCTGGAGCTGCTACAAATGTCATAAGACACACTTTTTTTTTTTTTCCTTTTGCCCTATTGGGGACTGAACACCATTGAGCTATATCCCTAACCCTTTTTATTTTGTATTTTGAAACAGGGTCTGAATAAATTGCCCAGACTGGCTTCCAACTAGCTATCCTCCTGTTTCAACCTCTGAGTCCCTGGGATTCCAAGCATGTGTCAGTGCTAGCCAAGGTATGCATTTTAAAAGGCCAAATTGAGTTTCTTGACATCTCCAAACTGATCACTGTGGTGGAGCAATTGGCTGGCTTAAGCCAATGAGGACCCACCCTTGGAACATCCAAAAGAAGTTCAGTCTGATGTTGGCAGGAGAAGCAGGGAATGGATGCTAAAAGAAGCCAATGTCCACTACAACCTCTACTGTGAATTCATTCTTCTCCAAAGATGGGTAAAGGGCCCCCAGAAGCCATGGGAAAAGAAAGTTAGAACTTCTATTTTTACTTATTTCCTATCTAAAAGTAGAAATTGGCTTTGCAAATATGAGTTGACTCCGGTGTTCATATTTGGTTTCTATGTCAGCCATGAGTTAAACCTCATTCTCCTAACACCATGAGGAGAGAGTGGGTATTCTTCCATACAAAGTGAATGACAGCAGCTAGTCCTTTTAACAGACTGTGGTGTGGTGTGCTGTAGTGTGCCCATTTCAGTGGATTTACACATGATACTATCTATTTTAAATTAGATTTAAAATAGTTCAGATATAAAACCATAACTGAGGATAAAGCTTTTTTCTAATAGTAAGGAAAGGGCTAACTAACACATTTCCTACTTCAGAAAAGAGTTTACCATCTGCTCCATTAACATGATAAAAGCAATTGACAATTAAATCTGACCATAGTCAATTAAAAAATTCAAAAGTAACATTATGACTATTTAAAACATAGATTCACAGTCATTGTTATGGCTTAATCCCTTGTATGCCTTGAAATACTGGTTAAAACCACAACCTTTAAAAACCAGGTATCTGAACATAAAGACAAATCCTGCTTTTTTTTTTCTTTTTGGTGAGTATATGTAATACTCAGTTTAGTACTTTAGAAAATTTCACTTAGTTTAATACTAAATGTTTAGAGACTTTATTTTAGGTTTCTTAATGACAAAAGACATACTGTTGAGGAAATATTTGTTTTCCTGCTTTAATAGGAAATAGTATATGAAGAACAATATGATGGCAAAATGTGGGTACACATTTTGTGTTTTGTATCCATGGATTCAGCTAAGCACAAATAGAAAATATTCAGGAAAAAATTGTGTGTTTTATAAGCATGTACAGACTTTTCCCCTTGCCATTGTTCCCTAAGTAATACAGCATAACAACTATTTACATAGCATTTGCATTGTATTGGGTATTATAAGTAATCTAGATATAATTTGAAGTGTTTGGGGGGAGTATAATAACAATAGGTTATATGCAAATATTGCACTATTTTACACATGGGAGTTGAGCATCTTTGGATTTTGTTACCTTCAGGGGTGTCCTGGAAACGATCACTGAGGATTTCAAGGGATGACTATATATATTGCTGTAGATTAGCAGAAAATGAAATAAAACAAGTACCAGAGCAAATGACACCATGTGGGAGATTGCTGTATAGAGAATAAATATATAGATGTCTTAAATGTTCCTTAGATTATTATATTGGCTAAATTCTGTTTCAATAATGAAATGCACAAAGAATTGCTTTGTGTGTGTGTGTGTGTGTGTGTGTGTGTGTGTGTGTGTGTGTGTGCAACCTAGGAAGGGTATACTGAGAGAGAAACATTCTTAATAATACATTGCATCTTTAATGAAAACAATATTTTCTGGAAGAACGGTGCAAGTAAAGCCACGTAGGAGTGGAAGGATTTGGGCAAGGTTCCACAGTGAGGCTCACATGTGAAATCTTCACTGCACCATCCATGGAGGAACTGCTGCAG